GAATCTCAACCAACAACGAACTGTGTTTAGTGGGTGTCAGCATATATGTGTATAATAATCGACTCAATTGACTGAATAGAATCTAACTAATTTGAGGTGATTTATTCTCCTATGTTGAGTCGATTTGAGTGTAGTAGAGATAAATCCTGCGACAAAACAGAACTCTTCTGACAGCGCATACTTTCAAATGGTATACACATAGAATGAGTATTCACATTTAAGCCGAGATGATCGATTCTGAAATACAGATATCATGTTGAATGCAACAATGCTTTCATTCTGGTGTCAACTTAAACTAATTTGAGAGGCTGATTTTAACAAAGCATTTCTTATCTTTCATTATCCTAAATTACTTTTCAATATAGAATCAAACTACTGAATTATATTTAAGTAAGATGAGAGTGTTGGAAGAAGTCGAGGACTTCAATATTGCAAAACATCATTCACATTGAAGTAATTTTATGTTACACAAGTTATAGCAAGACAGATTAACTTTACGTTTAATCAAATTACTCAGTACTCAGAATTCGTTTTCTTCATGCATTTATTCCCTTGATGAATTTGAATAAAGCAAGAATAACAGTGGTTTGTGCAGAATTATATGGTACCATCATTTATTTCGTTGACTCCTCATCAGCTGCTTACAGCCTAAATAAATTATGAGGTTTACGTACAGAAAAGTTTTAAGATATTTGCAAATTTTACATGTTGTCAGTTGACAGAAAGTTCCACAATTAGTGAAAAGTGCTCAGAAAATTTTGCTTATATAGTCTTTACACAGGCAGTTCAAGTCAAAATAAATGTATGCATACAATGGTAAAGGAGTTACGTAATAAAGACGAGAGGTGAGTAAGATGATGAGTAACTAATAAGTTTGGTAACGACGTACTGGGTTCAAATCACGTCATAGAAACAAGAGACAAGCAACATTACAGATTATAAAAAAGAGGGGTGAGTTTAAAGACAAAGATCACGTAATCAGAGAAGAGAATAAAGACATCCAGTTACCATGGCAAGGAAAGACTAATAACTGCTTCTTTCTGAACACATAAATCTGGTTTGAAGCGTTTGATAGAAACTGCTTCGGTAAACTTGAGGAGAATGGAGCTCCTTTGTCTATTGATAATTTTAAAGGATTTCTCGATTTCCACCTCATGACCCGTGTCGAGGAGATGCCTGGCGATGGCACTGTTCCCTTTAGACGTAAGCTTTTTGGTACATGTTCAGAAAATCGTAGATATGCCCTTCTTTCTGTCCTTCCAATGTAACTGCTCCCGCAGATACATGTAAATTTGTATATACAGTTGGAGTTCACATGAGAAGGATATCTATCGATTTTTGATTGCACCAGAGAGCAAGTTGTTCGAAAGACGGGAACGGGCTTAGCTGCAGGATAGGCTATAGCTAGTGATGTACTCAGCCTTCTGTTGATCATCGCTGTAATGTTTTCACCTTTATAATCAAGCTGAAAGTAGATTGGCTTTTTCCCCGCTGTGATTTGTTTTACATTTGTGACTTCAGATCTTCCATACTTGTTGATGAACCTTTGAGGGTACCCATCGCTTTTCAATGTCTTTTCAAGAAACTCAAATTCTTCCTCTAATTTCTCTATAGAGCATATTCTTCTGACTCTACAGTACAGAGTCTTGACTAGACCGCGTTTAAAGCTATTTGGACGAAAGCTATTAAAATGTAAGTATTGTCCTTTCCATGTAGGCTTTCGATAAATTGACTTTTGAAGACTACCGTCTTCTAGACGTTCCATGGCAGTGTCGAGGAAGTGAAACTTTCCGTCACTTTCATGTTCCACAGTAAACTCAATGTTGCTGTGTGTATCATTGAATAATCCGAGTAAGTGTGAAGCATGACTTTCATTGTTGCACACTATAAATGTGTCATCAACATATCGACAGTAGGAATTTGTCGATTCGTCGATTGCATGCTTCAACTTTGTTCTTTCAAGGTTGGACATGAATATATCTGCTAAAACAGGGCTAAGTGGACTGCCCATAGCTACACCATCTATTTGGCGGTAAAGAGTGTTGTCAAATTGGAATTGCACATCCATGGTACACATAGGCAGTAGGCGTTTGAATTTCAATTCTGGGAGTGGGAGAAGATCAGACTGCTGACAAATGAACTCAATAGTTTCGTTGATTGGAATCATTGTGAACAAGGAGGTTACATCAAATGACACCATGAACTTATTTAAAACGTTCATGTGGTTCACACTTTCAGAGTATGTTAAAACTTTTCTGTACTTAAACCTCATAATTTATTTAGGCTGTAAGCAGCTGATGAGGAGTCAACGAAATAAATGATGGTACCATATTATTCTGCACAAACCACTGTTGTTCTTGCTTTATTCAAATTCATCAAGGGAAATAAATGCATGAAATATATGTGTTTATTTTATCTTTAGTGGCTACCACGAAGTCCTGCACGCATGACCGGTTGCCGATGAACCTATTTTAACGGCCTTAAGTGATTGACAAATAACTCGAAAAGAAAGGAATCCACTACTCATGTCTTACATGATCTCAGTATACATCATCAGAATTCGGATTGTCTGTTGCAGAAACACATGTATTTTCTGATTTGATATTTTAAAGTAATCAACAGGGTTCCGGGAAAATCACAAGTACACTTTACTGGAAATATCTCGCGTGTATGGACTGTTTACGGAATCTCATATATAGAAGTGTTTATTCAATTGTTGGCCAAGTCCTTTAGTTACACTCTGAACGTTTGACTGTTTTGTAGGTGTTATCACTGATATTTTATACCGGTGTAGACACCATCAGTTCTCTGGTTAATTAAGGACTGTATTACTTGATGTTCTAATTACGCATTACATGAAATGTTTATCGTCATGCAGATTATGAAAACTATCCCACAGCCTGTTTCTCAAATAACAGCTTTCGAAAATTCTGTAGTAATATACCATTTCATAAGGTTTATTCAGATGATGATGAGAAATGTGTGTAGGTACATGTGGTCTGTCAAGTGAAATGAATTGCACTGCCTGAGAAACCGATTTGGAATGAGTTCAGTGACGTCTTGTTCACTATGATCAGTGTCTTTTGGAAATTCTGGGATATGGGCTATTGACTAAATGGAGGCGTGAATTAATCGAGACGCCACTACAGTTTAACATACTTAGACTCATTTGTATATACATTCTTCCATAAATAACCAACTGTACATACTTGTTTTAAACCATTTGATCACTGAAACTAAAAGAAACAAGACTTTATATAGATTACGTCTTCAGTCGAACAATTCGAAGTAGTAATCTGTCATCTGATTGACAGTGATGGAGATACAGCGTAGACGAAACATGTATCTAAAACCATTTTGTAAACACTACGCTTGTATCCAAACAACAGCAAATTATTTTACACGAACTATACTTCTAAACGCCATAACTGTCTTCTGTTAGTGTTCAGTCTGAGTATAAAGCATCCGCACAGGAAACGGGACACTGTCACAGTTCCTCAATCGTTAACGATCATGATATTTATTCAGATAACTGACAGCATCGTGTCAACTACAAGTGGCATGGATGAGAATTTCAGATGAACGATTGAAAAAGTATGACAGACCTTCAATTATCTGAAATCAGTGTTGAAACGTGCTGCATCAGGTACAAAGAATAGGCTTGAGATTTTCATCAGAAATGCGCTCGTACAAAAGAACATCTTCCTAGTTTCCAACATTTGTGCCAAGTCAGTCTATGCCTATTTATGATTCAGAGGCTTAGTGAGTCAACAAAACTGTTTCCAAGAGTCTTTTGCAAACTTTTATCAATACCTGCCTTCCCTGGTTCAATACAAAAGATCAAATTTTGAAAAGGGTTTAACAACAAAGAACTTCGTCATCGTATGAATCAAGAACTTGTTGCCCAATAAATATGCAGAATGAAATCAGGATGTATTGGACATGGCTTGAGGAGACCATGTGAGTGACACCAGAAAGAACCTTAAATGGAATGCGAATGGGGAATGACGAATTTAGTGTTTTTCTAAGGTTGAATGGAGAAAATCATTTTAGAAAGAAATGAAGGCTTATGGGGAATCATGAAGTCAGCCGAAAACTACTCCAGAGGACTTGGTGAGGTGGACATGGGATGTTGACGCCTTCAATTCCACTGGAAACCCAATGGAATCATGAAATACATTGAATAATAATAATAATAATAATCGATAGCTGACTTCTGAATTCAAAATACGTATGATATATACATTTATTAATACTGAAACTGGAAGCCGAATTTTATACATTGTTTAAAACAAAACAGAACAGAACAAATAATTCCACAAAGATGATTACAATTTACTGTCGAAATGAGAAGGGTTTGATGTGAAAGAGAATGAGAGTAATTCACATTTGTACAAATCTGATGTCATATAAAAATAAAAGATTACAGAATTATGTATTTAAGGAATCTGGTACAATGAAAGCATTAGAAACACATGCACACACATATGGTGGCATGATGAATTCAAATTTAGCTCAATGTGATAAGTCGCTTTTCATGAGGTACAGTTACTACAATGTTTCACACTCATTTTGCAATGGACAAGAGTATGTACAGTGAAAATATGAGGTACAATTTCATCGAAGTTTGATTTTAACATTTACTAAATGATAAAATAAAGTACACTGTGTTTATGTATTGAGTCATAAAATTTAAAAACTGAACTACAAACAGAATTCCAGTGTAAAACGGTTCGCTTTGAATTCTCGTCTCTTATCAAGTAGTATGTACAAGGATCAAGAAAAAATAGTATGTGGTAAACAAAATTATAAAAGAGTACTGATATCTCTGATAAACAAGAAGGAATAAGTTTGATTTTTCTACCTCCTCATTTTTCAACAAACAAATCTAGTAGTTGAAGGTCTTTGTTGTTTTCATAGGCGTGTATACGTCGGAAACATATCGAGTGTAAACGAAATCACAGAAATATCAATGTTTTCACTTGGAATGAGATGCTCCTTTATTCCTCTGTTGTTGGGTATTCAGATTCACCTGGAGGTGAAGATTTTGATCCGTCATTGTCGGATATTGGTGATCCCGCTGGAGGAGACTGTCCACCTGAAGGTGGTTGACTAGTCGGTGCAGATGCATATGGAGATGATGAATGAGGAGGTGGTGCTAACTGAGGGGGTTGGCCAAATGACGGCGGTGGTCCAAATTGTGGAGATCGTCCATTTGGTGGCGGTGGTCCGAATTGTGGAGGTTGACCAAATGATGGCGGTGGTCCAAATTGTGGAGGTTGTCCGATTGGTGGAGGTGGTCCAAATTGTGGGAATTGACCAAGTAATGGAGGTGGTGCAAATTGTGGAGGTTGACCAAATGATGGTGGTGGCCCAAATTGTGGAGGTTGTCCATTTGATGGCGGTGGCCCAAATTGTGGAGGTTGTCCATTTGATGGCGGTGGTCCGAATTGTGGAGGTTGTCCATTTGATGGCGGTGGCCCAAATTGTGGAGGTTGTTCATTTGATGGCGGTGGTCCGAATTGTGGAGGTTGTTCATTTGATGGCGGTGGCCCAAATTGTGGAGGTTGTCCATTTGATGGCGGTGGCCCAAATTGTGGAGGTTGTCCATTTGATGGCGGTGGCCCAAATTGTGGAGGTTGTCCATTTGATGGCGGTGGCCCAAATTGTGGAGGTTGTCCATTTGATGGCGGTGGTCCGAATTGTGGAGGTTGTCCATTTGATGGCGGTGGCCCAAATTGTGGAGGTTGTCCATTTGATGGCGGTGGCCCAAATTGTGGAGGTTGTTCATTTGATGGCGGTGGCCCAAATTGTGGAGGTTGTTCATTTGATGGCGGTGGTCCAAATTGTGGAGGTTGTCCATTTGATGGCGGTGGCCCAAATTGTGGAGGTTGTTCATTTGATGGCGGTGGTCCAAATTGTGGGGTTTGTCCGTGTGGTTGGGATTGTGCGAGTTTTGGGGGTTGTCCGTATGGAGGTGTTCCAGGCAAAATTGGTACCGATGGAAGTCCAATTTCGTCCAACGGAATACCTAGTGCACAGAGTAAAAATATTGAAACACACTTAATTACATTCAAAATATGGAATTAAGTAATTGATTTTGATAAAAATTCACACAAAGTTAGAACACGTTTTATGTCAGTCAGGTTATTTTATTCCCAGATAATTTCTCGAGAATAACTGCACAATTCAAAAGAATGTACGAAATCATGTTACCAGCTTCTGAGCTGCTCAGTGTTCCTCTTTATAGAAGTTCAAGAGATAATACAGTTTCGTGAAAGAGTAATATATCTGTCAGATTAAGAGTATTAATCCTAAACACAAAATCAGTATCACTTTTATGAGCGACGCTTTGACGCAAAACTAATCTGTGCTAAATAGTCCTATAAAATCTATCAGAAGATATCTACGACTTTCTCACTTGTGCATTTCAACAATCAAATGTAATACTGCTACTACTGTGACGACAGAAGGCAATGACGATATATTAAGGAAATCAACATATTTCTATATGTTTTCATGTACATTACTATGGGTACGTAAACAAACAAACACAGTCTTCCGATTGGTTGTTTCTCACGTAAAGTTAATCTTTCATTTATTTGTGACTTTTTTGAATGTCAAATCCTCTATATGTTAACTGCATCCGCCTACGCAAAGTCTGCTGTGGTCGGTTTTGAATCAATCTTTGTTCACATTTTCTCACGACAAATCTTGGGAACGTAAATATTGACGTAAATTACTGTCTACCAATTTGGCTAGTAGACAGCTCTCACCACACTACTACTAATAATAATAATAACAATTTGCTTTATTCCAAAACAGTACTCATGATACAGTGTGGAATTCTCAGCATTCACTACAATGTGGCATCGAATTTACTCGACAAGCAAGCGCAAAAGCAAAGACGAAATACAATATTACAGGATTCACAATACCAGCCTATTTCGGTATTTACAATGATAATAAAGTCGAAATTTCATAAAATGTGTAAAGCAGTGATGTTATTCTTATTAGCTAAAATTGTGTGTTAATTAGAATAGTGTCAGGATTTGATTACAAATAGGAGAGCGTCAAAAAGAGCCGATTTTCTTGCTAGTAACAAAGTAAGTTGTAGGTTTCACGCTATGTACATAGACGGGGACCCAAATGAGGTATCAATGAGCTTCTGTAATTGGTTTTATTCTAGTGACTTCTAGTCCTACCTGATTGTATGCATCATGGGGAGAGTCTACAGTACAGAGGGTATTGAGAATGCTACAATGTGCATTTAGATGAGCTGACTTGGTGGCACACAACTTGTCCCACTGACAACCTTTAAAACCCTTCACAATATGACATAGTCCTTTTCGAGTAACTCAGGAAAGGCTAAGGGGGAGCAGTAAAGTACAGTAGGTAAGATGCAAGAGTTGACAAGCTGTGAAAGTAGAGGTTGAGTGATTTCTCGTTTTCTTGACTTCTTAATGTAGAAGCTTAGACGGGACATGTTCTTAGAAATCAACAAGACACAGGATGACGGACCAAGAGCGGTTTGGGGGATGAAACTACTCCAAAGTATTTTATGCTTGACTATGTTTCTGTGTCAGTACCCTCTTCGCTGTAAACATCTTGTGAATTATCCAGTTGGTGCAGATTACATCTACGCCTAAACGTCAAGTTGGTTGTCTGACATTTAGAGGTATTTAAGGAAAGATCATTTAGCATAGACCATTGGCTGATATCCGATAAGGAGCTGTTAAGTTTGGGACAGTCAGATCGGGACGTATTTCGCAGCGGGACCATCAGCTGGTAGTAGTAATTTCCGTATACGCTTATGTGAAGTAGTCGTAGGTAGCGTCGACTACATCAATGAAAAATGTTTAATTTTGCCGAACTACAAGAATTAGAATCAGATTTTATTTATTGAATTCCTTCTCACGTATTTTAAGGGTTGTGTCGAAGTAGGTGTTTACAGCATGTGCGAATCTCAGCTTCTTAGCACCAGGTCCAACTGTTATGTAGATGGGTTTCTTGATACCTTCAAGAGAGTTATAATTAAAGCTGGATTGGTTATATAACAGTTTATTTTGTGCATCACATAATAGCAACTGCGGAAGTGAAGAAAAGTCCTACTAAACTTCTTATTTCAAACTGCCTACTATCGCCAATGATTTTCCTGATTGCAGTAGATTGGATAATGCCACAAACAGCGGGCAATGAGGAAACAGGCATAAAATGGACTCACACAAAAAACTTGGAGGATCTGGATCTGATATATGTCAGATTTCCCACAAACTGGAAGATATGCAAATGAAAGGCAACAAGTTGGCAGAAGAAGCATCAAAGATAGGAGGGACTTCAGGTGAACATAGAGAAAACAGAGCCGATGAAGATTCCTAGCCCATATCAACACCAACAGCAACAACAACAACAGACAACAATCGGCATAGAAGGGAGAAATTTGAAAGAAGCAACCTCCTTTACCTACCTACCTGGGAAGTATCGCCTACAGGCGGAACTGACGAGGATATCAAAGCAAGAATCGGAAAAGCAAGACAAGCTTTCATTTCTCTCAAGTCTGTGTGCAGGTCAACAGCAGTCAGCATGAAAAATAAGATCCGGATTTTCAACTCCAATGTGAAGTCAGTGCTACTATACGGATCAGAGACTTGCACTGTGCGTCATAAAGAGCACCTCAAACAAACTACAGACCTTCATTAATAGCTGACTTTGCTCAATACCAGTCAAGATCAGGTGGCCAGAAAAGATCAGCAACAGAGATCTCTGGGAGCGAACCAACCAGGAACCGATTGTGAAACAAATATGCAGGAAGAAATGGAGATGGATTGGCCATACTCTGAGGAAACAATGCATCAAGTGACATCACTAGACAAGCCATTGCTCGAGTGGAACCCGAAAGGGAAGCGGCGAGTTGGTCGTCAGTGCAAGGGTGACTTGGAGGAGGTCATGTGAAAAGGGGATGAAAGCGTGTGGGCAGACTTGGAGCCAGGTGAAAACGTTGGCAGAGAACCGAACGCAATGGAGACGCACGGCTGAAGCCCTATGCTCCTCTAGGAATTAAAGGAAACAATAATAAATAATAATAAATAACATCAGCGAGACTATTCGTGGCTGTCTAAGCTTCCATCTACATATTACACTGATTTATCGTGTTTTATTTGTATTTATATAGCAAAGTAAGACGTCAGTTCATATCTACGTGTAACAATAACTCAGTTCAAGCCGACTTACTGTTTATCTGAACATTATAAATGTCAGCACTGATGAGTAGAAACAAGAGGATACTTCGCATAATTTTCACACACGGGGCAGTAATCAACCAGATCAGAACAATTCTATAATGAAGAAGAAAAACAAGTTTAATGCGATGAACAGAATGAAAACACGATGATAATATCTGGTATGCTTGTAATCCGTATTTCTTTAGAATATATTTACTTTAACATCAAAGGATGACTGAGGCTAACTGCAATCGACAATTATTTCTGGACTTTGAAAACTGATTACCTATTGCGTGAATATGACTTCCAATGCCAAGAGAAACACACTCACGTACACACATTAAGTAATCAACAGTTGGACACGACAGTGTAGACCTCATATACTAATTGTTTTGTACAGTTTTAGAGTTAGATAGGCATGTAACTCTTTCCTCAGCCATGAAATATGAAAGATGTTGGAAGGCAATGTTAAACCTCAAAGGTTCAGCCTTCAGGCTGAAATGTCAAAGAAATCACAGTGGAAAAAATTCCATCTTCATTCGACTTGATTTCAAAGGTGAAAATATTACAGCAATTGTCAACAGAAGATTGAGAACATGACTAGCCAGAGCCTATCGTGCAGCCAAGCTGATTTCCGTCTATCGAACAACTTGCTCATTGGTTCAGTCAAAAATCGACTGATATCCTTCTCGTGTTAACTCCAACTGTATATACAAATTTACATGTATCTGCGGAAGCAGTTACATTGGGAGAACAGAAGGAAGGGCATACCTACGATTTTCTGAACATGTACCAAAAAGCCTATGTCTAAAGACAACAGATGCTTTAAACAGTGCCGTCGCCAGGCATCTTATTGACATGTGTCATGAGGTGGACGTCGCAAGATCATTCGAAACTGTCATTAGGCAAAAGATTTCAGTTCTCCTCAAGTTTGCCGAAGCAATTTCCATCAAGCGCGTTGAATCCGATCTGTGAGCTGAGAAAGAAGCAGTTGTCAGTCCCTCCTTGCACTGCTAACTGGACGTTTTCATTCTCTCTTTCATCTGATTACACAATGTTGAAAGTTTCCATTGTGTATGATCATTATTGTTCGGGATAAAGTGTTTAATATTTTTACTAGCATTGTAAACATATATTGACTGAGTAAATTTTGTTTAGAAATGAACTCTGCAAGGATGTCAAGATTGTTCCTATAGGTATACTTTTTGATGTCTTTGAGTTGTATTCAGGTGATGAGAAGCCGACGAAATAAATGATGGTACCATTTTATTCTGGAAAACTGTTGTTCTTGTTTTATTCAAATTCATAGAGCGTAATAAATGTATGAAATATAAAGCTGTTTAATGATGGTCGTAATAATAGTAATTATTAATAATAATAATAATGATAATAGTAATAGTTAAACCTACCAATTTCTCTAATATCAGATGACTTGATTAGCTAAATATGACTGCAGTATTTATACAGTTTTTACCTGTTACACAATCACAGTTTATTATCACGTGCTCATGTTGATTTGATCAGGTCACTCAACTTCTAGAAAAGATTTCGTGACTGTTTCGAATCAGTCAGGTCACTGGTACATTATTAATTTGATATTATACAAACAGGCAATTCTAGTCATTCATTAGAAATGAATGACTGTCAACATTATAATGTCTTCGAATCAGGTGTCTTTTTTGTTTTTGTTTGATAGTACAGTTACACACTGTTTAACACATTATTAAGCATGAAGTTGTCAATAAAAATCTACTGATTGATGACTAAGTCTTTATCTTGAAGAAAGACTTATGAGTGACAACTGCGTGGGTGGTGTTGAAGATTAATCAGTTGAGTGTTCTTGACCTGATACACAGTGGATGTTTCTTTTTAACACGTATTATCCACTTGGTTTTGTAAAATGCTGTAGGTTGCGTGTCTACGACAGAAAAGAACTTTTTCTGTGTTAAGTCTAATGAAATAATCGAATGATGAAATTAGGAGTATATTTGTGATGCATGAATTTAGGCTTCCAAATAAATACCATTATGCGAATGAGTTTCTTCTTTAACTGGTCTTTCTTAAAATACACAAAAGGCTATAGACAAAGAAGCATATACGAAGTGGTATAAAAGTTATATATATAACAAGAATGTGGTCGTTGTAAGTGTTGTGGAATGATTAAAGTGTCCAGTCGAATTATTTACTACTATTATTATTATTGTTCACTTGGATTCCGAATAAGACGTAGGGCTTCAGGAACACACCTCCATTTTGCTCTATTTTTCGCCATCCTATTCAGCTGGGTCCACGATTGACCAAACTCTTTCATCTCTTCCTCACACGATCTCCTCCATATCGACCTCGAACTGACGACCCACTCGTCGCTTCTCACTGGGATTCCACTCGAGCGATGACCTGCATTGTTCGCGATGTCATTTGAGGTTAGCCTCATCCATTTCCTCCTACATATCTGTTGAGTAATCGGCTCTTGCTCCATTGTTTTGTTGTCAGCCAGAGTTTCTTGTTGCTAATCCTTTCTTTCTGGCCATTTGACCTTCAATATGGAGCCAGCCAGTGAAGGTGGCAGCTGTTGATGAAAGTCTGCGGTAGCCTGTTGGAAATCCTTCTCGGGACACGCAGTGCTAGTTTCTCACCCGCATAGAAGACCTGACCAACTTCACATTGGTGTTGAAAATCCGAGTGGTGTTCCTTGTGCTGAGTGTAGAGAATTACCAAGCTGGTTTCAGGTTGATGAAGGCGTATCTTGCCTTTACGATACTGACTAGCTTTGACATCCTCATCAGTTCGATTGCTTGTAGTTGAAACGATGCTTCCTAGCCGGATAAGTGAAGGAGGTGAGGAGGCTCACGACTGGCCTCCTGCAGGACTGAGCAAAGAAAACATTATCAGTGAATAACTACCCACCAGATTTCATCCCATAAGGAAATAACAGTAGTAGTAATATACATAATAAGGAATTCAAAACCACAATAGTACTATTGTGTGAAGAAGGAGCATCAGAAGCCCCATGTAGGTTTATTAATAAGGCTGGAATTAGATTGACGTTTAGACCAACTAGTATGCTTAGAAGGGATATGAGTTTCTTCAAGCTTGCAGATACGCCTTGTTGACTGGTGAGTGCCAGCTAGCACGAAACCTAGGTCAAGCAAGGCTTCCTGTGGCCGATTGCCTCCAACCATCTAAGATAATCTTTTATTTGAAGATCCTGGACGAAGAGAAAATATTTGATTTATAGAACACAAAATGATTGAGCAAAGAATATCCTTTTCGATAATTTCCTCTTCTGGCTCTACAATTATATATATGTTTATACACATAGAATATTCTAGAATAGTAGTCAATAACAATATTGGTGGTTTTTAAATAATATCGATTTGTAAAGTAAGATCAATGGAATTACAGTTCATTAAAGATGCTCAAATTATATTAATAATAAAAATATAATAGCTAACAGAACATCAACTAAAATTAGGAAAATTCCACAAAAATTCAGGATCATTCAAACCTGGATGGCCAAGGTAACGATAATGACTGAACTAACTTCTTTTGGATGCATAAATTAGGCTCATTAATATGAATCCCCACAGCCAGCCTCAGCAATATTTAGAAGTCGAACTCTTAAAGCGAAATTGAGATTCGTAGGTATGCGGTAAATGACACTGAAAGCATGATTAACGTCAATCTTGTGTTCTGTCTCCACAAGATGCGCCAGATTAGCGCTGCGAATAGATTTCGTTTGACGTTTGCTTAACCAGGCAGGGTGATGTTCGGAAATTCGACGAGAAACACGCCTAATTGTACGGCCTATGCACCTAACTGGCTCATTCCACAGGAGCAGTTAAATTGGTAGATACACATGGAAGAGGCGAAATTAGGCAGTTCATCTTTTACTCCCGAACGCAAAATAGGGCTGGATGGTTTTGAAGACACAGCGTAATTCAGCAGCAGGGAATGCTCTTTTTACCGCATTTCTAAGGCGTTGTGTTAGTATCTCGCTGATGTTGTCCCCGAGGAACTGAATTTGTAGGAATAAGGCCTTTTTAGGAACTGTTTTTACGTTGGGCTGCCTTGATTTTAGATTTTCTGGATAACCGTTTTCACTCAGCAACCGTTTAATATTATTAAGTTCCTCATCAAGACATTCATCTGAGCAGATTGCTCTTGCTCTGTGGACCAAGCACTTTATCAGATTGCGCTTGTATTTCAAGGACACGAAGCTGAAAAAATGAGTATACTGACCCGTTGATGTAGGTTTTCTATACACACTTCTTCTTATTGTGCCATCCTATTTTCTGGTCATAAGGACGTCTAGAAATGAAATACTAGAGTATCATTCATATAAGAATAAAACTTGGGCACTGTGGTAGAGTGTAATTCCATTATGGGTAAATTTTATTTTGATAGAGTCTCACAGTGTTATACAGTAATATTTACTGATGACGTTTCGAGCACAATTTATTGCTCATAATCATATCAAGGTAATCACACAACTTCCTAAATTCATTTATATAGTTCCATTGTTTTTCACTTGATTTTCACTTGATTTGATTGGTAGTATTATTTTCCATATTTCGGGTATTAGTGATGATTCATTCCTATTGCACGTGTTGGGTGTAGATTCGATGAACAAAGATTCAGTAATCAACCTCTCTCTCCACCTACCTAGATTACTTTTTAGAATTTTAACCCTCTCCCACCCTATTGTGTGGTTGTGTGTTAATGCATGCATTGCAATTGCCGAGCTTTTTTCTAAATTACTTATCTTCTCTGGGTCAACCATTCTTACCTTAGCTAAATTCTTATGTTCTGACAATCTGACTACTCCTGACCTACTAGTTTGACCTATGTAGTTGACCTCACAGTCATTGCAGGGTATTTTGTAAATTATATTATTTTGTCTAATTGGGTCCACTGGGTCCTTTAACCTACAGAGCTTGTCCCTGAGTGAGTTTGTAGGTTTAAATGTCACCCTAATTCCTGCTTTATTTAGAATCCTACGTAGGGTCTCAGATGTCCCTTCTTTATATGGTATAACTGTAGATGACTTATATTCTCTCTTATTTATGTT